CCCCAAAACCCCAAAACCCCAAAACCCCGTCACTTTTCTCGGGGATTGCAAATATAAATAAAAATGGTGGATTTAATAGTAAACCAGAGATTTCCTGAAATACAAAAGCCAAATTATCTTCTTTTGATGATGCACATAAACTGGATAGATTTGTTTTCTCTTAAGGATATGTGCAATCTTAGGAACTAGCATGATCGAAAAAGATGGAAAACCAACTTTGAAGTTGACGCTTACCCAAAATCCTCAGTTGGCTTTACAATGAAGTGTAAGATCAATCCACAGAACGATGATGAGTCAAGCGTAGAGACCTTCTTCAGACTTGCTGAACAATTGATCCCACTTGCCGAATCCAACTTGAATGAAAACAAGGAAGGAACCAGCCTCCAATTCTACAGAAGATTCTGCTTCGTTGGAGATGGACTCGGAGATGCCATCTCAGTTTGTGGATATGCCAGTGCTGAACTGTGGATTGGTTGGAGAGTTAACCATGACGGAGGTCTCAGTCTCTATAACGTAACCTACACCCCATTCTCCTACTTCCAAGGAGGAGTTAATGTGTCTGCTGCTTCCTACCCAGCTGAGGTTTCATATGGAGGATATATCCAACTCTACAACTTAGAAGTTTCAGTTAACTTCTTGATTTCCCAAAGCCAGATTTGTTGGGATGGAGATTTCTTCCTTTATGCTACGCAGGCATTCACTTCAGTTAATACTAATCTCCTTCTGTGTCAAAGATCTATTCCAGATATGACTCCATGGGATTGTGACAAAGTTCAGGGAGTCCAGTTCAGACACTTGACCTACGACTTCTTCGATGGAACCTTTATCGATTTGCTACCAAGAACCTGCATCACTTTTTAGTTTGTTTCTTTGTTAGTAAAATCTCGAGAGAATCTTATATCTGGGGTATTATATTTTTGATCTTTCTCCAAAAGTTTACAGACCATTGAAAATTATTTTTAGTAATTTTGATGAGCTGGCATCAAATTTAAACCCACCATCTGGGGTTTTGGGGTTTTGGGGTTTTGGGGTTTTGGGG